CGCCGGCTATCACGATGCTTCATTGGCTCACAACCCCCACAACGGCGCAAGTAGGTACATGCGAAACGGTGGGACGCAGCCTGTGATGGCTAAAACACGACGAATACCGACTTACTTATTAGGCTGTTAAGTCCCCGAGTATTTGAACTGGTTGCTGAGTTTACCCGCCAGAGTGGCGTGCTGTCTCTGAGGGGCTTAGGTACTTTATCTACTGGAGAGAAACCCGACCAACTCCAGGTCAACCTTGTCAGATATATTCCCCGCAGCGCCTCAACCGACTTCACCAAACATCGCGTTGTGTACAACATGGCTGTAAGACATCTCAGATCATAGCAAGCATTTTCTTTGTTAATCATTCTTTAGTCTACACTTCCCCAAGTCGTCCTCTTCGGAGACTCCCTATTCCAGCACGCTATCCAGCTTCTCGATGGCTACTCTTTCCAGGCCGCTCTACAGTCTGGTGAGCTTCAACTCTACGGCCACTGTGATAAAAGACCTCTAATGAATGCCCAGAATTTATTCGACGCCTGGATGTAGTCAACCGAGGCTTTTCGGGCTTCAACACCGACCATGCCCTGAAGCACCTCCCGGACATCTTCCCCGAGCGCACGGCCTCGTCACCCAAGCTGGACTATCTCGTGAGCTGCCATCACCTCACATAGCCCACTGTACTGACCGCAGCCAGGTCATCCTGTTTGGTGCCAATGACGCCGTCATGGAGACTTCTGTCACTAACCAGCACGTCCCCCTGGAGCGTTACAAGGAGAACCTCACCAAGATCATCAACCACCCACGCATCACCGCTCACAAGCCCCAGATCATCCTGGTGACGCCTCCTCCGTTGGATGAGATCAAGTCGACTCCTCGATCTCTTGGAAACGGCCACAAGGCGGCTCTTCGCCACTTTTCCGTGAGCGCCTCCTATTCTGAGGTGGTCCGCCAAGTCGCAAAGGAGAACCCAGGGGTTGCCCTAGTCGACCTGTGGCAGGTGTTCATGGACAAGGCCGCCGAGATGGCATCGCCCGGAGACTATACACCCGGTGGTCCCCTGCTGGGTTCGCCTGAGAACGGCAAGCAGGGTGGTCTTGATGTTCTCCTCCCTGACGGGCTTCACATGGGCGGTCAGGGTTACCAGATATTTTACGACGCTCTGCTGCCTCACATTGGCAAGGAGTGGAAGGGACTCGGGGAGGAGGATCGAACAGGATGGGCGATTCCTGACTGGCGCGACCTGTGCGGACTCTAGCCCGCCAAGCTGGCTTGAATGAGCAAGGGTAGAGATGTCTGAATAGATAGATAGAGGGAGCTTTAGACGTTATAGAGTCGGTTAGAGATTATATCTGCCACTCTTTCTTTGTCCTTTATTGAATTTCCAAGCCCTACTCTAGCTTGATCATCCCGGACATTCAGATCACCCCTTCACTCATCCCGTCCACAAGTCCTTGTCTGTTAGTTTCACCCCGCCTTCATGCCGATAGCCCCCCTCAATTCGTGGCGGGTCAAGAGAGGATACCTGCGTATCAATGGCATTCAATTTCTTTCATCTCTGGGTGGTGGGTGACAGGCATGCCTCTTATCTCCGGCCAAAGATCAAGACATTGCATTCTGCAGCGATGGTTATCGTGATGAGCCATGGATGCGTGCTACGTATGACAACATACATCCTCGTAGTGACCCCAGTCAACCTGAGGCTGGACCCGTGGACGGCTCACGACGGCTTGTCCACAAAGCCCCCCGGGCCCTGACACGCCCTGGACACAGCCTGGATTTAGTGGATTAGCGGACTCCAACACACGCCACAGGCGCTAGAGGAACCGCCACGTTAGCGCGCGGCCCCGACCTCTACCCACTCCATCCAAAGTCGAGCATCCCTCGAGACCAACCTCGAAACGTTATTCTCGACTTAATATTGACCGATCCTTTTCACCCTCCCTCAACGTCGACGCTGTTTCACGGCCTTTTCCTGCGCCCGAGAGAGACTCTGAAGAACGCATAGTATTTGTATCTGCGCTCTCGCTGCCTTGTACATCATTCACGCACCTTCGTCGTCCATTTCCGCTCCCCACCTTCTTTGCGACGCCGCGATTTGTCCACACTCGACGACAACCCCTATCGTCCACATCCATATCGATCCGCACCAGCGACCGCGCCTTTAGCTCGATTCGCCTGTAAACCATCGAGTGCGAGATATACATCCATAGCCCAGTGACCAAAGCCTCAACTCGGCCGAGTTTCTACCTGATTCCGCAACCTGCCTACGCCGTTTCACGATTCAAAGGCGCATATCTCCGACTGAACGTCGCTTTTCCAACAACTCAGCCCCGACGACACAGTATCGACTCACTGATCTGCCACCATACCTCGAGTCTACTCATTAAACCGCCGGGCGATATCATACATCGCACCCTCCGTCGCCGGGGACCTTGTGGTCTATTCCAGGCGATGCGGCGGGGAGGGAGGACCTCGTGAACTACCATTCGCCTGGGGATCGAGGTCGGAAGAGCCAACCGCTGCTCTTGTTTGGAACACGGGCGCTCGTTCTAGTCGAGGTTCCATGGTGTAGAGCTCAACTTCTTCATTCCTTCGCATCGTTTGCCATTGCTGGCCTTTCCTTCGCTCCGTCTTTTCGTCACTCAGCCTCGCTCTCCCCAGAGCCGTGTGTGCTGCCTGCTCTCCTCGACCGAACGGCCAGTTCTGCCAAACTTGATCCAGCGTCGTATCACCTGAGACGGTTTCGGGGATGGATCCAAGGTTCCCTGTCACTCGCGAAGATCTGTACAGCCTACAGATGGAAGTGAAGCAAGTACAGTACACCCAAAGCAGCCATGCCGAACGACTGTTGCGATTGGAAAAGCGACAGGCGGATGATGCCGCGCTGAAGTCGGTCTGGAATTCTCCCTTTCCCGGCGTCCTCAGCGGCACGCCTCAAACAGGTGAGTTACCTCGTCCATCCATCACGGCATCGCCTCGGCACTGACACTACTCCAGGTCCGGTCACAATCCCTCACAATGACATGTTTGATGACTTGGATGAGCAAGGAGAGCAGCTCCTGGGATCTCTCCATCTTGGCCCAGCAGAGGAGGAGCCGGTCCGACGAGGCGCTGCTTCTCGAGCCAATAGTGTTCGCTTCGATGAAAGCGCCTTGCACGGTTCCAACTGGGCAGGCCCGAGCAACCGACACTCGGGCGAGTTTGTGCCCATCCGCCCTGGCAGCGGCCTCATGATGGAACGCTCGCTATCCCACAAGTCAGATGGCAGGCATAGCTCTGCAGGGCACTCGGTGCACTCTCACCACTCTGTTGCTTCTGGCCGAGCTAGCAGTTTGGGCCTTGACAACAACTTTGCTGTTGGCGACGACGACGACGATTCTTTCGACATTCCGGGCCCTCCTCCTTCTTTCTTCATCCTTGGGACGGTTCCGTCCATTGTGCGCTGCTGGCTGACGCCAAACTTTGGACATTCCACCTTGCTTTATGCCGACGTCTGCAGTGGATCGCAGAAATCCGTTGTTGAATACTCGCTTCTTAGGGAGCTGGACCTGGTGGATGAAATCCAGCGTGATGTTGATGGAGCTTATCGAGTGAGACTGAATGTCTACTTTGCTGAAGCCGTCGTCACACATCATGGCAGTCGCTCTAGCAGTCCTAGAGGCCCAGTCCCTTCCATCACCGTCTTCTTTGACGTTTCTGGCATAACTGAGCAGCCACTGCAGACCTCGGATCGGAAGACTATTCGCATCTACTTGGGTAGTGATGCGCTGCGGGCTCACTCGGCGGACATCCTCTTCTCACAGAACACCATGACACTCTACGGCGATGAGCGAGAGCGGCTCCAGGTACCCTTTGTGCGTCCTGAAGATGATGCTGTGTTTCGGAATATCTGCACCACCAATGTGATTCCCGAGAAGCCCAAGTTGAATGCCAATGCTGCCCCTTTCGTCTCGGGCGACATGGGACAGGTCAGCCAGGAGAGCATTCCGGATATGGACCCTATCCACCACCAAGACGATGAGTCCCGAAGCGAGATGTCCCCGATGGCCGCTGAGGCGGTTCCCAGCAAGCGAGCCAGCTCCCACGGCAGCCTGTCTGATGTTAGCAGGGAGAATGAGAGGCCCAGAAGGGACACCAATGGCGACGAAGCTCCTGTCAAGGGAGGACACAGTAGAGCGGTGTCTACTGATTCTCGACGGGACGCATCCTCGGGCATCTGGGGATCCTGGCGCCAAGGAACGGGTAGCGGAACCGATGGCGCACAGCGAGATGGTCCATTGAGCGGATACCAACCGGCAGGCCGGGGCCGCAACATGAAGGTCCTGAAACCTCAGAAATCGGGCTCGACATCCGCACGTACAGGTGCTTCGTATGAGCCGCCTCCTCCGTCCAAGGAGGCCAGAGAGGGTCGGCGCAAGAGCCAAGCCAGCATCGGAGAGAACGGCGCCAGCCCCGTCAACCGATGGGATGTGAAGCGTGTCGGTAGCGTCGGCAGTGACTCGAGACCTCAGACGCAGCCACAGCCACAGCCTCTGACGCCTCGCGAGGCACGCAACGCCAATACGTTGCCCAGATCAGCCAACCCAGTCGGAGTTGCATCGGCGTTTTCATGGATGACACCAACGTCGAAGCCCAAGACGACAGCAGGATCTGATTAAGGAACGATGGGATCATAAACCTCATTTCGACGGCGTCCCCCTTTCCTTGTTGGTCTTGCTTGATTCAGAGTGTTCCCCTGGTTTCTGCGCGCAAAGACACGGAGGGTTATAGCTGTAGAGAAGGAGATTCGCATATCGGAATCGAGGCAAGCCCTGAGGTCAAAACGGGGGATGATAATGATAATGGTGGTTCGACGTAATGAAATGACCAGACAAAGAAATAAAAAGGGCAAGGGTGTCCTTCAGACCCCTTGACTCAAAAACAATTCAAAAAATTGGGCGTAATACTTGGCTATGTGGATGTTATGATGCGTGATGTGGTATGGTATCTACTACCCCTGGCCTTCTCCTTCAAATCTTGGAACCAGGAGGCAACGACTGCCAGACCTGTTTGGTATCAGCCATTGACCCCTTGACGACGCCGATCAGGCTCTTGAAGGCAGGATGCGACGCGTCCCCCACGCACTCGTACATCCAGCTCTCGCTCGACGTGACGGTGATGCCGGGCTCGGCGCGCAGCCGGTCCAGCGCAACGCCCACCTCGCCGGGATTGCAGCTCGACACGCCATCCGCGAGCACGTACACCTTGTGTCCAGCATCGCGCAGATCCAGCGCCGTCTGGGTGATGCAGATGTGGGACTCGATTCCGACGAGGGCGATCTCGGAGCCGGGGGCGAGGTCGGCAACCACGCTGGGGATGAACATGGAGAATCGCGTCTTGTCGTGCGGCGGCGACGGGAGGAGATCGGCAAGGGAGGGAACCGTGGGACCGAGCTTGGCTGATGTTTGGGTCGTGGTTACGACGGGGATGGAGAGGGCTTTGGCAAAGTTGAGGACCTTTTGTGTCGTGAGGACTCTTGGATTATCGTCAGCTGTGTTGAATTGGCGAGCGGGAGGGAAGTGTACATCTTGTCAAACTCGTAGATGACATTGCGAAACTTGTCTTGGATATCGCAGACACTGAACAGTCAAGCTCCGTTAGTTGACCTCTCTCCCAATCAATCTCCCTTCAGCGTCCGACGTACAAGATCTTGGGGTTCTCTTTGTCACACTCTGTCAGTTCAATTGCACACCAGCCCATCCAGTAGACTCACTGAAGCGCAGCTGCGCCGGTGCCGAAGACATTTCGCGAAGCTGTCGTGTAACGTATCGAGGACGATGGGTATCAATTGGAGAGAAGTTGGAGCTGCGGCTTAGATTGCCAATGGTGTTTGTCCTTACAGCTCGCGATCCGAGAACGAGCTGAGATATACCACGTCGACCTAAAGGAGCTGGGGACAAGCGCATCGCCAAGTAAGGGGTTAATGATCGACAGGGCTTTTTTCTTTTCTTTAGAGTTCCCAAGGTCTCAGGTGAGCTACGGTTGATGAGACATTGGAAAAGTCGAGGCCCAAAGGATGGAGATTGGAGCTTTGGCTCTTTCCCAAGTGGTGTTTCTGAGCGCGGGGCAGCGGATGAGAGCGGGGTGCTCTGCATTAGCGGGGTCTGACGGCATGAGCAGGTGTCAGTTTGCAGTGGAAGGAGGCCCTGAATGGTCAAGAGCTCATCCCCTGGAATGGAATCATGGCGGGAGCGTTCCGAGTTCATGGCTTCGGAACATTTACATCACAGTTATTAACATGTGTAATTACCCCTTAAAACATCAATTACTTTTATCAAGTTGGAATATTACCTGTCTAACATCCATTCTATGCCCAGCCAATCCAATGCTTTCTTTCTTTCTTTTTGAAATAATCAACAGGTAAACCAAACGCCTTCAACTCCATAATATGCTTCCGACGCCCCAGTCTAAGCGTTAACCTCGGCGAACCACGTCCGAAGCAGCCCAGCCAAAGCGCTTGGCAGTTCCTCAAGATGATGAACAATGAGATAATACTGAAAGGGGAACGTGTCCAGGTACCGCTCAATCACCACCCTGCTCTCGCCGCCGTCGCGCACAAACTTGGCCTCCTTGAGCTCGAGCACGCTGTCACCCTTCTTCTTGCCTGTGTCGTCCATGATGATGAAGACGATCATGATGCGCTCCTCCATCGCCTCGCGCAGTAGCCTCCGGATGCCCTCGTGAGCTGAAGACGGCGTCAGACCGTCAGACAGGATCAGAGCTAGTTGCCACAGGTCCGAGCCGCCGCCTCCCTGCTGTCGCGCCAGCCTGAACGTCTCGATGGTACGCTGGATCAGGAGCGCAATGTCGGTGCGGTCCTGAGAAAAGTTGAACTTTTGCAGAACCTTGGCTCCCGCGTCCGAGGCGAACGGCTCCGTCAGACCGTGCGCCGTAAAGACGTCGCTGCCGAAGCCCATGACACCCACCTGGCCGGCCTCGAGCATTGTAAGCGATCGCGACACCATCACCAGAGACTCCATTGCCAGGGTGCCCGAGGACGATTCACCCATACTCTTACTGTCGTCGACACAGAGCAGAATCTGGTAAGTGCGCTTTGTGGGGATGCTTCGTCGCATCCAAATCTTGTCTCGCTTGTAGCTTGATGCAATGTATGGGATGATGCGCTTGATGTTGAGTCGCTTGCCAGTGCGGAACGCCCCATTGAGCTTGGTTGACTGCGATGGTGTGAGGATGAGTCGCAGCTGAGATGTCAAGGCCAGAGAAAGAGAGTGAGTCTTGGTCTGGAACTCGGCCCACTGGTGCATAGATTCACCAAAGTCTCGGAGTGGTCGCTCCTCGTCCGAGATATGCGTTGTGGAGAGCTGTGTAGATGTCTCCTGGATCTCGACTTCTTCTTCATCCTCTTCTTCTGCCAGCTGTGCTTCTTGCTCTTCCGGTTCGAGCTCACGATTATAATTGCCTTGTCGTGTCTTGACTCCGGAACGTGTGTCATCCTGGTCCTTGTCTTGGTCTTGCTTGTTCGCATCTGGCGCTTCAGCTGAATCAGTCGTGTCCATCTTATCGGGGTCCTGCTCGGGTTCTTCCTCCTTGTCCTCGTCCATCAAACGGCTTGTAGGATCCTGCTTTTCCTCATCGATGGCCATGGACTCATCGATAGGTTGGACCTGGTCATCATCTGCCGTTCCCATAGCTTGAGTGTCCGCAGCAGTGTTGTCGTCCTGGAGGTGCTGGAACTCCCGTCGACTCTGATCGGCATTGGGGTCTTGAGGAGCGTTCTGCTCGTCCTTTTCTGTAGGCTCAGCATCCTTGATGTCCTCTTGCTGTCGATGCCATCGCTCAAGAGCATCGCCGAGCTTCTTGAACGGATCACTGCGTGCTGACTCGTCCTTGTCTTGTTGCTCCTGCTCAGCCCTGTCCAGGACTTCCTTTGATCGTGACATCGAACCCTTGTTTCCTGCGCTGGTGTCTTGATCCGCGGCAGCCTCTCCCATCTCGCCGTCTTCCTGCTGGGCCGCGTTGTTCTGGAAGTTGTCGTCAACGTCCATCGACTCGGCATTCTGATCTTGGCCAGAGCTCTTGACGTCGCTAGGCGCCGCGTTGTCAGCGTCAGCCGTAGAGTTGTCCTTGGGCGGCTGAGTCTGGTCCGTGGCCTCTTCCTGCTCTTCAGCCTTCTCTTCTTCCTCTGGCTGAACATCTTCTTGCACTTCATCATTACCGCCAACCTTCTCCTCGGGTGTCTCTTCTTCCTCTTCCTTAACCTCAGCCTCGTCTCCAGCTTCCTCTTGGAGCTGAGCTTGGGCGGCAGCGTCATCTGCCTCATCCTCCTGATTTTCACCCATCTCTTGGTCCTCAGGCTCTTGCTTCTCCTCTTCAATATCAGACAGCGCATCAAGGTCGTCGCTGTCTGAGGCTGACTCGTGCTCATCGTTGAGGTCCAGCTCCATGTCCTCAGGAAGAGCCAGGGTATCGTTCTCCTGGGCAGTCTGGTCCTGCTTGTTCATCTCTTCCTGAGCCTTAACGTCCTCTTCTTCGGCGCCAGCCTCTTCGGCATCTTGCTCGCCAGAATCGTCCACCTCAGGCTCTTCTTCGCCTTCTTGCTTCTTGGCGTCTTCGTCAGCAGCCATCTGCTCATCGTCCTTCTTCTGGCCCTTGGCCTTCTCTCCTTGCTGATCCTTCTCAGCCTTTTCTTCATCATCTCCGTCCCACATCTTCTCATCGACAGCTGTGGGATCGAGATCATCAACGTCGCCGGCCTCTTCATCCATTTCATTCTCCTCCTCTTCCTCGTCTCCGTTCTTGGAACCTTCCTCATCATCTTCAGCTCCATCAACACTGCCCATTTCTCCCTCCAGTTCTTCGTCTGCCATGTCCACAGCATCCTTCTCGTCTTCCATTTCGCCATTCTCCTCCTTGTTGGCCTCTTGAGCAAGTTCAGACAGATCCTCGTCAGGTTGGATATCCTTGCTGATGTCTTCAGCACCTTCTCCGTCACCAAGACCAGTTCCAGACTCCACTTTGCCAGATTCGCCTGAAGTCTCGTTTGACTTCTCATGAGGTGTACAGAATCCTTGAGACGCAATCTGAGTGAAGGCCTTTGTCATGTTGTACGCCATGTGTGCCAGCGCGCCGTGAAGGTCGACAACCTGCACCAGAGACTGCTGGCAAAATTCAACATACTCGACCAAGATTGGGCTTGCGATAGCCATGAGACTCATTGCGGCTTGGCTCAAGTGCTTCTGGTTCAGGTCGATGTGCTGCATCATCTCGATACAACTAGAAACACTTCTCTCGACTTCTCCAATGCGCAGCTTCTTGAAGAGATCCGCAAACCCATCGCAGTGGGCGGTGAGCCAGGCTGGTTCATCCTCCTTTCTCGGGATTGATCGGGCAGCCTTCTGCGCAGTCTCGATAGCGACTAGTATCTTGTCGCAAAGTGTCGAAATAGCATTGGCGAAGGTGGTAACTTCCACATCGTTGGCTGCGAGGCTGACGTTCTCCTCGGTGGCCTTGGTCCAACCATCGAGTTGATTGAACACAAACGAGAGCCTAGGCTCCTCCAAGACTAACTCCTCAATGACGCCCCGGAAACTGGCGAGTTCACTAGAGAAGCTTGTCTCAGCCTGTACGACTACCTCGGAGGAAAGACGGTCTGGAAGTTGTCTGAAGCTTAAGGTGGAGGTTTGGAGCGACTCGAATCGTCCATACCACGACTTCAACTGCTCAAGAACTCGAACATGCTTCGATTGTCCCAGCTTCTCATGGATTTCGATCAAGCGAATAGAGAACTGGAGGATGTGAACCAGCCAAGGGAGGAGCTGAGTCCAGTTGGATTTCGTGGTTTTCTTGGTCAGAGTGTTGTTGTCTTGGACACGACCCAGGTTATTGAACTGATCCGTTGATTTCTTGAGCGACAACAAAGAAGATGCCCCGGCGGAGATAAAGTTTCTCTGGCTTAGAAGGAAGTCAAGCATGCCTTCGACAAACCCGATACTTCGTCCAACCTCGGCACCTGTAAGGTCCTCCGAGTGGTCTCTGGCGGCAGCCCTGGCTTTGGGGGTAAGATCCAGAATCTTGTGTAGGTGGTAATCGATTGCCTCCCCGGTCTTGTTGTCCCAAAGCTGCACGGGCTGGATTTTCGAGAGGACAAGAGATAGCGAATCCTGCTGGGCCAGCTTGTCCTGTCCCAGATTGTACTTCAAGCCCATCTGGCGGAGGTCTCGCAACGTGTCTGCGAACAGCTTTCGCTTTCTTGTCTTGAGATGCTTGACTTGATCCTTGTTCTCGTCAGTCAAGAACGGCGGTGTTTCCTTGCGAAGCTCAGCCATGGACTCGTTGAGGCTGGAGATGAACTCGTCCACAATATGGGGAACTCCACTGATCATCTCTGGGGTACGAGAGATCTTCCGCATCACGGAGACCGTCTTGGAAACATTGGCAAGCCGCTTGTGACCAGTGATCCACCCAGGCATCGTGTTGCTGAGATGGGAGAATGCTTGCGGGGGTACAGCTGCAGGCTCAGCACTTCCTTCAGGTCGCTCTGTGCGAAGCACATCTTGGTCAGGAAGACCTTGTTCAATGATGTGCTTTGCTTCCTGGCCCAAGACACCACGGAACTTCCTCACAAGTCTAAAGAGTTTCTGGTGAGACTTGCGAGCGCTTTCTCGGAGAGCGTTGATGTTTGTATCCTTCCAGCTCGCCATGAGCAGAACATCCTTCATCTTCTTCTCAATGGGAAGGCGTCCCCTTTGGATTGTTTCGCCCATTACCTTCTCGTATCTTGAAT